GGGCACCTCAGTGAGGGAAGGGGGGAGGGTCGGCCCCCCCGCCACTGCGTGCACTCCTGGGGAGGGAGGCATGGGGGAGTGCAAGCCTCCCTAGATTTGTACAGGGAGCCAGAGAAGATGTGGGCTGCCCAGAGGCAGGGGTTTAGGGCAGCAGCAGTGCAGCAGAGTTGTGTTCCCTGCTGCTGCCAGGTAGGCAGGGGGCACTGGGCTGTCAACAGCAGTAGAAGCAGTACCAAGCCTCCCTACCCTGCTCTGTCCTCCTGCACCAGGTCTGACCCGCTGGGCCATGGAGGCCCCTAGACACAGGACAGCAGGGCGGGGAGCCCCAAGCCTACAGTGGGCAGTCCACATCTGCCCCCACCTGCATTGGCTCCATTCCAGCCGTGCAGCCCAAGGGAGATGGGGGGAGGTGCTCCAAACTCTGCTCTAGCTATAGCAGCTGCCGGGTCCCATAGCCCTGGCAACTGGGGGCCCACTCTGGCAGGGCTGGGAGGGACAAGGGCCTCTGGGTCAGGAGTAGGGGCACCAGCAGGGCCAACGGATTATGGGTTGGGAGTGTGGGGCACCAGCAGAGGCATGGACGGAGGAGCTGCAGGGTTCTCGGGCTTTGGGCTGTTGTGGCAGGGGGGGGGGGGGGGGGGGGGACGGGGACCAATCACAGCTGGATCCACATCCTGGTGAGTTAAGGGGGCAGGGGGATTTCCCATGATAAAAAACCCCCAAAATTAAACACCAAAATAGGTATTTAGAATTGTTTTTATTATAATGATAGAAGTACTAGCAGGCTTCCAAACTGCTTTAAAAATGTAAATTTATCAATAAACCATTGTGTACACACACACACACACACACACACACACACACACACACACACACACACACAGAGTGGTGGTTCATTTTAGTCATGGAAAAAATGTGGATTTGAGGATTGTTAAACAGAATTTGGGGGGTTTATTAGAGAATTTGGGATTTTTAAACGGAGAGAAATCAGGACCTCAGCACTAGCTTGCTTAAGATGTCTGGATTTGTGATCTGATGAAGTAAACCCCCAGTTGATAGAAGCTTATATTATATATCTCTGAATCTGTGATACCACTTACACGGGGTTGAAATGAAGAGACAAGTCATATATAAAAAAGCAACAACATTTATAATATCAAAGCAATTATCAAACTTTTAACACAAAATATAAAACGTAGCAGCACAGGTGCAAGAAGCTTTTTCTTGTTTCCCTGAACCAAAATATTGCCTATATCACACACGTGTGCCAATTTTTGTATGACATCCATCTTCAAGCAAAAGAGCACTTGCTTAACATAACAAACATGCCATTAAAATTTTCATAATTGGGTGTCTAAAGCTGGGACCCTAGGTTCCAGGGCTGTGCAAAGCTTCAGTAGCCAATTTGATTCCGAGGAGATTTGGCCTGATTCGACAGCCGAATCTCCAAAGCCGAATCGAATCAGGAGACCCATGAAGAGTTCTGAATTGAATCGGAAGCCTCCGAATCGACTTGGGAGAGATTCAGGGCTGATTCAGAGATTCAGCCATAGGCTGTACAGGTTTCCCTTGCATAAAGTGAACCCACTTTATAATATAACAAATAGAGATAGGTTCCCAAGGAGGTGAGGGAGAGAGGGGGTGAGGCTGGGACTAAGGAAGGGGCAGTGGCTGGGGTGCCGTTCCCAGGGCTGTACCATGCTCTGCCTGTCCCCCCGCACCTGGGTTTCACCTGTCCCCACTCACCCCAGCTCCTGGGCTGCGCTGTGCCATGGTGCAGGCAGCTGGTGTTGGCTGCTGCAGCAGGGGCTGCGAGGAGTGGCAGCAGAGCCCTAGGTGGTGCAGGATGCAGCGCAGCTTGTCCATACTCACTCAAGCCTCTGTTGCAGCGGCCCCCGGAGCGACTGGCGCCCGCTGCAATGAGAACCATTAGTGGGTGCGGGGGACGCCTCTTGCTGCCCTGCACCCCCCAGGAGGGCTGCAGGTTCAGGGGGCTGTTGGGCTCTTCCCAGGGGTGCATGCCCCCAGATCTGCACGCGGGATGCCAGCAGTGGCTCCAGGCTGATTCTTGCTCCGGGGGTGCACCAATCAACAGGAACAGCCCAGTGCCGCCACTGGCCCAGGCCTCCAGTGGTAGCCTGCTGTCATCCTGCACACAGATCCCTTGTCTGAAGCTTCGGTAGCCGATTCGGCGGCTAAATCTCCAAATCCAAATCGGCCAAATCAAATCGAGACAGTGATTCCAATCTCCAAATCGAATCACTATCCCTCGAATTGGCCGAATATAAATCGAATACTTGCTGCTTCGCACAGGCCTACTACGTTCATACACAAGAAACAAAGTTGAATAGCCCAAATTGGGGAAGTGCTAGCACCTTAATACTCTCACCAAAATCAACAGGAATATGGCTACTTAGCAGCTTTGATCATCCAGACACCTAAGTACCTAATTCTGGATTTCCCTGCCTTTTTTATTTATTTATTTATTTTAAGGCACAAAATTTGGAAAGGTTGACCTTCATTCTCAATAGGATTTGTTTGATTGTGAGTTTTTGTTTGTTTTTGGGTTGTTTTTTTTTGGGGGGGGGGGGGGGGGGGGAGGCAGGAATGCCAACATATGCTCTTTCATCATCCAAACTGCCACTGATTAGCAAAATAGGTGGGCCTTATCTTGAAAACGAACACAACAAACATTCTATTTGTAAGTGAGCCATTGCTAAGGCGTGCTTCACAATGTAACTGTTCATGTAGACATTTTCATTACAATAGTTGGTAACATACTTGTGTATGAATAAGTACTGTTGTTTTGTAAGAATAGTGGTCCTGTAGTAACACGACCACATTACACCAGCCTCCTGTTAAAGCTTTCTTATCAGCAAGTTTCTGCTCTATATCATTGTTAAAATGGCAAGTAACAAAAATAAGGTTTTCATATATTTTCCCCCCCATTAGTAAGTCATTCTGATAAACACACAAAAGCGACCAAATGCACACAACCATTGTTCACTTTTCTAAATTTCTAGCAGACTCAAAAGCAAATGCTATAATGAAAGTACCATAACATTTTATTTAGAGGTGCACCGAAATATCAGTCACATATAGGATTAGCACCAACAACAGGAAAATTAACATGATCTGCAATCGGCTTTTTTTAGTTGATGATGTCACTGATAAATGCAGCATGCATGCATGCAGCTGCACCATGCACACAGCCAGGAATGCAGCCCAGCAGCTTGGAAAGCAGCATCCCGCTGGTAAGTTGGGGGGGGGGGGGGGGGGGGTGGGGGGCACACCAAGGAGCCCAGGGGGGGGGGGGGGCTGGGGAGGCGCTGCCCAGCCAGAGCGGGGCATGGGACAGAGCCACAGGTGGCTCGTTTGGGCGGCAGCTCCCCAGTGCTGCGCACACCCCCAAGAGATGCATGGGGGGCATGTGCCTCCCAGATTTGTGTGCAGGGCGAGGATGGACTGCCCGCTGTGGGCTCAGAACCAGAGGCTGCACTTCCATCTTCCCAGCAAGGAAGCAGGGCTGGTGCTGCACTCAGGATGGGCAGCAGCGTGGCACTGGGAAGGGTGGCTATGGGGGGGAGACGGAATTTTGGGGTGGCTATAGCCCACTAAGCTCCACCCTAGTGCCACCCCTACTCGGGACACTACAGTCTACTACAGCTGAGCCCACCTCACCCCCACCCACCCCGAGCGTAGCTGGGCAGCATCTGCCCCTGCTCCACTCCCTCCCTCACCGTGGGGGCCTTGGTCTGCCCCCCTTCCATGCCCCTTCCCTCTGCCACAGACTTCCCTGCAGGGCACTGCTCTCCAAGCTACCAGGCTATATTGCTGTAAATTAGCTATCAGATTGGTACCGCCTGATCTGGCTGGTTAATAACTAGGCATCAGTATCGGCCAAGAAAATCTTTATCGGTGCATCTCTAATTTTATTACTTTGCCAGCATATATATGACATGTATCATCATATAGTAAATACAGTGGTGGGGAACCACTTACTCATATAGTAAGTATCATCAAACAGAAACTGACTCAGCTGAATACCCTAATAACTGAACTTGTGAAAAAGCAATAATAATGTTTCCTTGTTTAAATAATAATTGCATACCTGAGCAAAAGATCACAGAGGAAATTATAGCCTTGCCATATCCTAAAATCATCCAATAGTGTTTGTGATACATCACTGGAATCTTTGAGAAAGCAAGAAAGCCCAGCAAACATCTCAACTATTTCTAAGGGAGAAAGGTCATCAGACTGCTGCATGTTCTGAACACACGTGGACAAACATTCTTTTTCTGCAAAGATACATAATTAAGAAATAAGTTTTCCCCTGATGTATGCATATTTAACATTTATAGGCATAAAGTCATTAAATACAGCTGGGGAATGAAAACAACAGCTAGTGTAACCACCTACTCCCACAAAATATTTAAACGGACCACAAAACTTGAGATCTAGTCAGTTTCATAAGTAGTTTCAAACAGACCTTAAGTTCAGATGCATCTCTTCCCCTGGAAAAATATGTTTTTATAGCTTACATTTTAGAGTAAGAAAATGTGAATACATTTTTCCTCCTGCTGCAAGAAAAATATGACTGAATTTACAAAGAAAATGCAGAAATTGACTATACACTCTCTATGCGATAAAACACATGATTTAAATAAATAAGATTTTGTACTTGAATCCCCTTTACTTATAATAATCCTAAGCATCACTTGCAACATAGGCCATAGACAGACACACATATGAAGCACTCCAAATTTTGAGCACTTCTGGCCACAGACAGAATCTCAGCTCCCATGCTTATCCCCTGCCAAAGTTTCAAAATCATCTCAACAGCATATAGGACCACGCTGTTCAGATAGTGAGAGGAATAGCGGGTCGCTCAATTCTACAGCTGTGCTCTAACCTCCACAAAGGCTGGGTGGGGGCAGAGGGAGGGGGTTGTGGGGGAGAGAGAAAGAGGAGGACGCAGCCTTGGAGCACTCTCCTCTACACTTAGACTCTTGTCCTCTTGTCTCCCAGTTCAGAGTCCAAGAACAATGCAAGAATTATCCTCTCTAGTCCAAGAATGACCGAGTGACCTCCTTCCCCACCTCCTGCTGGAACTGGAAGAAAGGCCCCATGCCTGCTGACTGGAAGCAGGAGACCAGAATCAGAGAAGCTTGCAGGGATTCCTACTCTCCAGCCTTACGGCTGGAGACAAAGATTCCTTGTATGGCTCTCAGGCTCCAAAGATTGATGAATGAAAAGAGAAAGTCCTCATTAGCTACATGCTCCCCTTCTTCAAGGGCAGAAATGAAGCACTGTTAATTCCCTGTCTAGCTACTGACATCCTAAGCAAGTCACTGAAGTTTTCCTCTGCATGCTCACTGAAGGTTCCACCAACCTACATGTAATCTACAATTACTCTAACACTATCAACACCAGCTTTACACTGATACGATGAATATAAAATAAATGAATCAATTTGATATGTCTCTTTAAAATGTTTAACAGCTTCACAGAACATTTATTAAAGTTGTCACAAGGAATTACTCCACATTCTAGAAAGCAGTTGTCTTTACAAAGCAAATCTAGTAATTAGGAGGCTGACACACACTATACATCACCAAAAACTATTGTAATAGTTAATTCCAGAATAGGCCCAACATATCAATTTGCTCTTTAAGAAAAATGAAACCAATACAGACTAAATGTATATTCTAGAGTAAAATGTCAAATGGAAAATCCAAAAAGTTAAATCAATTATAAATCACCCTGTCTTACATTTGAAAACTAAGGATTTTTTTAAAAAAAAGTATAAACCTTTAACTTTTACTTACATTAGAAAATACAACATTTTTTACTTCTTTGCAAGATATGCTGAATTTAGTTCTGTACGTATATTTTAATTGTTTTTCTAGTTCATAAACTGCGTGGCCGGATCTTCTGCATGCCCAAGGACTCCTGAGCACGGACAAAGCAATAACTTTTATTTCAACTCTTATTTTTGCATGCCACTTAAATCTGAACATTATGAGCCATACTCAGTCAGCATGTGGGGGAAAATCTCACCCACCAGCTTTCCCAAAACTGCGGTTGGATTTATGCGTGTACTCTTGATTTGAAGTACTCTTCTTCAATTATCAGACTTTAACTCGCCATCACCAGCGAGATGCACACAATTTCTCTGCAGCTAGGACTAATACTTTAATCAATTAACTTTGTGCTGGAAGACCAGGGCCAAAACCACTGTCCTGGAAGAACACGATGTTGTATCAGATTAAAACACAAAACAAAGCCAGAAACAAAACCTTCAGCCCGTTTCACCTTTTAGTCAGGTTTACTCTCCCATACAGGTTATATTTCAACAGTAATTTCAAGTAATATTTTGAAGCTTTGTACACAGCACTATCAATATGCCAACCATGCTGTATCAGACAGAAAGCTGGGAGTGAAACAACTAAGTAGTCACTATACATTTGTCAAATGGCATAGTCAAAAATGGAAGATTCTTTATACTTCATCTTTACTTCACAATATTTAGATATTAATTTAGCATTTAGACATACCACCGCACTGATCAAAATGTGATAAAAGGTAATTCTGTGTATGTAATTAGAGCAATTATTTGAGAAAGAATTGAATAAGAAAATATTTAAACAAACACTATCCTTATTAGATTTCTTACACCAGGGATCAACAACCTACAGCCAAACAGGCCAGATCCACCCAGTGAAGTCTGATCCAGTCTGCTGATTCCCCAGACCTTTGATGCAGCCCATGTTTTCCTTAGGATGTGCCTATCATCTCCAGCAGCTCCAGCCAGCTGCTACAATCCACATGGAGGGCTATTCTTCAGGGCTGTTCTTCCTTGCTGCAGCCTTTGCTTACTGTTACAGGAGTGCAGGTGGCAATGACGTGGCCTGAGGCACCAGTACGGTTGCAAGCTTTGACCTGTGATTGCACATGGTTGCTGACCCCTATGTTACATCTACATTCTCATCTGAAATAAGCTGAAAACAAGTGATTTGGGAGTCTTCTGAACTCTGAGTTGTAGACCAAGAAACACTGTGGACAAAACTAGCTTTTGCACAAGATGTGCAAAAAAGGGAACAATTAAGAATTACATGCTCTCCAAGGACCACAGTATACTCCATTTATATGCATACCTAATAAATATCTAATTTACTTAAGAGTACAATTCAGAAGTCAGTCCAAATCTACGACCTACTGATCATAATATAATGAACACGAGTTATCTGGATACCAGTTGAATGCACATCTTTTGGCACCATGATCTAACATAACTGTACTTTATTTAAATAATAACTGGCATCAGAAACAGTGACAGGGTAGCAGCTATCAAAGAGCTGCTATTAAGAATCTTTAAATTGGAAAGAGCTAGTCAGTTTGGAGGCATCTAATACCTCAACATTGACAGCAATTAAGATGGGTTATTTGGTACTTAAAGAACATTGCTTATATTAAAGTTTGGGTAAGTGCATAGGCAATTTTAAGTTCCAAGGCTATGCACTCAAATGCAGTTCACTGTAATCACAGTTAACATAACATTATACAGTAGTACGGTTTGTTTGGTTATGTTGACATTATTTCTAAACATTTGTTCCAATTTAAAAGCTTCTTCATGGATCTCCCCACAGGTTCAGAAACCTGGTGGCAAGGGTGTGGTGACAGTCTTAATTACTGTTCTCTTGCCGTCATATTTCCAGACCCTGGGGGAGCCCCACAGGCTAGATGATGTGGGTCTGAGCACTAGATCATGCAGGCTTGGGCTGGATTTGCCATGTGGACTCAGGTCCACAGATCGACCACATGTCACTCATATGGGCAGCAGGGCCTGAATGCTGAGCACCACTGGTTTTTAGTAGACTTGCCCTTTGGAGAGCCATTCCCTACATACAGAAAGAGGAATGCTGGTGAAAACAGTATCTATTTTTAAATGAGTCTTAAAAGCTTAAAATACATTAGGCTTGATATTCAGCAACTTTTCCATGCTTCAACCATGTGCATCTGTTTTCTAAGTTGTTCTCAGACTTACTACTCCATCTGTGGCATTGAACAGCTTTGACTTGGGCGTGGCAAAATCTTATTTATGACACAGAAGCCATTACTAGCTGAACCACACACACATTTCCTTTGGAATATTTGTTAGTACATTGCATACTGTGTGGAAAGCCCATTTACGCTTTGGAAGCACCTGAGAGAGTTTTACTTCCAAGAGCGAGGGAGGCAAGCTATTTATGCTGCTTACTTTAGAAAACGGCAAGAGATTAAAAAAAGTAGAAGGATTCATCCAATTAATTGTGTGTATATGAAAACTTTATTGATTTTGTTTTTGGACAGGTTCTCAACCTTTTCAGACTCCAGGCACCCCTCCATAATTTAATTTAACAGCAAACCATTTCAAAAGCCAATTTATTTCTTATAGCGCTCGCCTCTTCGCACAGGGGCTGGGGGGGGGGGGGTGGCGGCAAGCAAATATTTACCTCCTCGCTTCCTGGTTAAGAAATACTGTTTAAGACAATGCATCAATGTTCACTCTAACAGCTGTAGTTTTGATGGACCGCTAATGTTTCAGGCCATCCCAGAAGAACTCAGGGCATAGGTCATCTTTGCAATCTGCTTCTTCCACACAGGTCCAAGCATTTTATTGCCACCCAGACAGGTAACTGTAAAGGCACCTGGAAATGAGGCAGCCCACCCATAAACACCAGCTGTTGCACAACTCTGATATTTTACTTGCAGGTTCAAGTACTTACAAAAACAGTCATGCCTTCCTGGGGAGATTAGAGTTAGTGGCTATAAGTTCAGTATAAAAGGAGTCATTCAGAAACTGGAAACAAAAAGTAAAAATCTGAATCTGATACGTACCATGAATATATTTTACTACATTGACACTGAGGCCATGACGCGATATAGTCATTAATACTTCCCCTGCGCTCTTTCTCCAAGGAAGATTATAGGGAGGGCACCATGATGTTATTGCACTGAATAAAAGCTGGAGATCATCTTTTTGAGCCAGTTCTTCCGCCGGGGACACAAAACTGCACAATTTTACTAAAATCTGAAACAATGAGCCATTCAGTTACTAAAATATCATAGACAACTAAATCAGAGAAACAGTACTTTGTTCACTGGTACTTCTGCATAGCCTGATCATAAAAATTCAGCATGAACCACATTGCATACAACTGCACTTCCTCTTCACTCCCTCAGCTGAGCTATGCCTTTCTTTCCTGTTTTCAAATCATTCCCATTTCTTCAGAAGCCTTAAATGCCTGGCAAACATCACAAAATGGGACCCCACACAGTTCACCCAGAATCCCTCTGTTGCCAGCTCTCTCAGTCTGGCAAATAGGATAAGTGTGGCCCCACCCACCATGAGGTGAAGCCAGATACGGTTGCCCTGCAGCTCACCTGCATATAAATTTTTCAAGCATCCCAGTATTCATGAGAAAAACACCGGGTTCCAGTCACGAGTGGGGGCTAATTAGCACATAGATACTTGTGGGGAGGGGTATCTGGAGTACAAATGTAAGTGGGCAGCTCCATGAAGATGACTTGTAAGTTTCATATGATGTCTCTTTCAGAAAGAGGTTGAAAAACATCTTTTGGGCTCTGGAGCATAAACCTTAGTAGTCAGTGGGAATGGTGTACAGGATTAGTTGATAAGTCAGTAAAATGCAACATGTTATTGTTGAAAAACGTTTCAGAATATGTTATATCTATGCCATTATTGTTTAAAATATGTTATACTTATGCTACGACTTTGCTTATGAACTTGCTTATGCTAAGTAGCCATCTTAACTGTGTCAACCATTTTCTGAAAAAAGCAGGAAGTGAGCCTGTGTAAGTCTGTGTGCTGTGACAGACGTGGAAATAATGGTTGAATGAAGGCTGGTACGAACCAGCTATAGTAAGTAACAAGATAAGATATAGGAGTCTTAGGAATGTGGAGATGGTACAACATAGGACTGAAAAACAGGCTGGAATTTGAAAGACAACATGTAACTGGTTACAGAGTCCAAAATAAACATGTGTGAAAAAGTGAATGGTAATTGCTGAAGAAGCCTCCAGAAGCTTCCAGGCTTTGGTCGAAGTCTGCCCTAAAGGAAATAAAAAGGCAGTGAAAAGCCAGCCTGATGACCACCCTGACCACCAACACCAACCTACCCGCACGTCAAGAGAGAGAGAGAGAGCCGGAGCCCCCTGTCGACTGGACATCATCTTGAAGAAGCCTGTGACTGGCCATCGCAGCATGACTCCAAGTGCCGCAGGTAGGTGAGTTCATGCAAATGGTGTGCATGACAAGTGTACGATATGAGTGTGTGGTGTGCTGCTAAATAGTCTGACTCAGTTTCCCATTACTATGCAATAAACCCTGGTTTGCTGAACCTGTGTGTTAGATTTATGTTCAACATTATCTACTTTGAAAGTCTTTGCAATGACTTCAAGCCATAAAGTTGGCCACCAAGACCACAAATAAACATGGGACTAAAATTTTTAATCCATCAATAAACCTTGCAGAGTACTAGATATGCTTCTCATTTTGTATAGAATGTAGCTACTTAAGTGGAAATGAAAATGCAACCTTGAAATTAATTGTACACAAAATCCAAATAGCACCTTATGTTTTATCAAACAAGGCACAGAAGAGTATGCAGCCCCTTGTATCTGAGGATGAATCAAATGGACTTCCCTATTTTTCCACAGAACTCTCCATTAGAGTCTTAAATATTACTGTTTTATGGACACTGCTGAGATACAGCCACAAGGTTCAGCACCATTTGGATAGTAGGAGTCATTAAGACCTTGCCCACTGGATACGTTCTAGAGAAGCAGACTGACTTGAGCCAGACTTCTAACAGCTTCAGGTGAAGTTTGACAAGCAACACAACATCTATGCACATGGACCAGCACACTGTTTGTCATAACATACATATATTTGCCTATTATCCCATATGGCCTTCCACCAGAATCTTCTAGCTCCTACCAACAGTCCTCTGGATGTCTGCACACAACAGGGTTTTGCTCCAGAGGCAGCTATGGCAAGCTTTATTTGGAAGAAAAAAATCCAAAATTTGGGATGGCAGCTGAATTATTTACTGAGGCATCTTTTCTCCAGATAAAAAGCTTCCTTCTATTCCATGGAAGGGATAATGGCTACTGTACCAAAAGCTCCTTCAATCTCTTGACACAGACAATGGGATTCTACTCTGTGATATCAAGAAAAATGAACCCCAGTATAGATAGCATATCACAGCTATAAATTGTACACATATTTGCTAGACTGGTTGACATATCTATTGCAAGTTGTGTGCTAATACCTGGCCACAAGACACTCATGGAGCTTCCAAGTTCAGATACCAATTCAGTTCCCTAATCAAGCGAAGGAGAAACGACACCTCAGAGACAGCAAAAGGAAAATTTCCAAGAAATCCTATGCCACTGGATACGGTGCCAGTGAAAAGGCAAAGGAACAAAATACCAAAAAGAGCTCTTGATCAGGCCAGATTTTAGAATCAATGTTGATGTCAAAAACAATGTTTTCTGAGCCGCCTTTGTAGTCAGTGTATTGTACCCATTCATTAATATTGACTAGGGTTTGGAAGACTTTCCTCTGGAAGAACACTCCATTGTTGGATGCAACTTTTATGGACTTTGGGCCTAATCCCTGTAAATGTCTCAGTGTGAAAGGAGAAGGAATAGTAGATCGAACTTTGTCAGGAACATAGCCTTTTCAGGATAGAAAAGACTGAGAACTTAGGACCAATATACAAGGATTTAGATCAGTGGTGACATGTAGGGGATGCAAAGGGGTGCACATGCACCCCCTGACAGTGCCGGTGCATCCCGTCAGGCCGTGCTCCCCACTTAGGCAATGGGGGGCAAGCAGGCACACCGGTGCCCCCCTGCAAGCGCTGGCTGGGGAGTAAGAGCACTGGATGAAGCAGCCCAGATGAAGCGACGTTCCCAGAGAAGCGGAAGCAGTGCTCCTGCGGCCACTCCCATGAAGATGAAACAGAATAGTGAATGCGATCGGCCGTGGGGGAACCCCTGCGCCCTCCCCAGGTCAGTGCGTTTGGCTTTACAGGAACCCCCCCCCCACTTGCTGCATGTGCCCCCCCTAACTAAGGTGGCACCGGTTGCCCATGATTTAGAGTCTACCATGTCCACAGTTGACATGAAGCATCTCACCTTGCTGTGTCAGCCCAGGGATTTCTGTTATCTTTTTTCACATTTTTCTTTTTTTTTTTTTTTTAATCATGCAACAAATAGTCTTAACTTAAATAGAGAGAATAAGAAAGAAGAAAATGTCTTCACAGAAGTTTAATTTGAAGCTTAAGAAAGAACAAGTGGTTGGAAGGAACAAAGAACGGGTTTGCAGATGCTCCATCTGTCATTACATGGGACTACAAGGCAGAAAAGGGAATTTGTTTACCTCTGCTCAAAAGACTAATTTTGCTTTAATGAAGTTCATGACCACCCACAATTTGATCCATAGTAATTCACAAATTAATTATCCAGGGAAGCCACCAAAGTGACCTTCCCTTGCCCATCATACCAATATTGTTTATTTCTCTATTTGAAGTAACTGCATAAATTTAAGTGTGTACATGAATTAATATCAGTCCTGTTAACTTTTAGGGTACCCATTCAAAAGTGGTCATGACTGAAAGATGTCAAAGAGAAAAAGGGGGGCGGGGAAGCAGGGGGGAAACTTAGCAGTAGTTTGAATGCTGTTCCCCTTCAGCAACCCAGTTCAAGTGCTGATTTTATGTGATACAATATTTGCTCAGAAGAACAATGCACTCAACCTCAAGTATGCTTTCAACAAAAATGATCTTTCTAAAAGCACATATTTCTGCAAGAATGAGGGGGGAAAAAACCTTAGTAAGGGACAAAGACTTACTGCTGGAAAGAGTTTTTGGAAAATAATCTGTCTGATGAAAAGGTTAGTTTCTGTATTTCTTCATAAATTAAGTTGTTGATGATCTTACCTGTACAAAGACTTTCTGTAGTAGTGCTCGGCGCTCTGCTAGAGGTAGCTCATTCTGTGCTCCTCCAACTACCTCAGGCACATGTGGAAGGTCAAAAAATAGATACAGACATTTAACAAGTGTGGAAGGCACCGACATCGTAGTCATGCAGTCCACTGTTTTCTGAAAAACAGCAACATTTCACCATATTGTAACAGTGTTTTTTTTTTTTAACACAGCAGAACTTGCATTTAAAATCAGGTCATTCCAGACCCATGAATAAGATACTAGCTATGCAAAATGTTGTGACATATGGGAGCTACACAAACACAAGTTTGCCTTGCTTCTTTACTTGCTGAATTCATAGAAAGGAAAAGTTAACAAACTGCATTTCTGATTAATGTCTCAACGCTTGAACAGAAAAAATAATGGAGAGGGAAAAAGAAAAAAAAAAAAAAAAAAAAATCAGACTACCCTTAAAGACGGGCTTAAATATTCTAATATTATAGAAGCCTATGTTTGTTTGTCTGTCTGTCTGTCCGTCCGTAACACTTTCTTTGCACTCTGACTGGTTGTTTCCCTCAGCCAGAGTGCTCCAAGTGTGGGGGAGTGCCACCATGATTCCGAAGCCACGCCGAGGACCAGACAGAGGATGGGGGAGCCAAGGCCAGCAGCTCTGGCCTCAGCTCCCCCACCCTGCTCTCTGGAAGTGGCACCAAGGACCAGATAGGGGGCGGGGGAGCCGAGGCCAGCATTCCAGCCCACTCCCTGCAAGAGGCAAAACAGTGGTAGCATGGGGCGTTAGGTGGCGGCACTCCATCCTAGCTCCCCCTCCCCCGTCATTCTTGATGGGCAATTGGCTAGTATGCACAATAATTATACAATCCATTATTCATATAGCAGATGCACCCAAAAGCTATGATTAGCTTAAAAGCTATCTTCCAAAGATAAGATAACTTAATGGCTACAAAATCAAATTCTGCAGAATGTTGACACTGCCAGATCATAAAGCCCTTGAGTATTAGAGCTGTGCTAAGCTTCAGTCGCTGATTCGATTCGGAGGAGATTCAGCCCGATTCAGCAGCCGAATCTCCAAATCCAAATCAAATGAGAAGACCAATTAATCTCTCTGAATCAAACTGGAAGCCTCCAATTCGATTCAGAGAGATTCAGTCATAGACACAGCTTTATATGTTTTTTCTATGTACCTCAAGGTACCAGGGGAGACTCGTGAATGCTGAGATGGTGGGGCAGATGGAGCGTCCCACAGGAGCACAGGGGGGTCCCCCGTGCACTCAGTGGCGGACCCAGAAGTGGACCAGAAGTACTCCCGTGAGATGCTTCATTTGCCCCAACATCTCAGCATTCACGAGGCACACCTCGTACCTCAAGGTACATAGAAAAAAAAAATAAATGTATAAAGCTGTGTCTATGGCCAGATCACTGATTCTCCAAATCAGAATCCAATCTCTAGATTTAGATTCATCCGAATCGGATTGGGACAGTGATCCGAATCAGTGAATCGAAACACTGTCTCCTGAATCGGGCCGAATCTGAATTGAATATCGCCCGCTTCACGCACCCCTATTGAGTATCTTAATTTAGAACCAAATAAATTGAAGGGTATGAATATAAAGTATGAAGAGGGAAGAACTGCTGGTCAACATGTCAGCAGCATCCTGAAGATTAATGTCTCTTAGGTGTTGGCACTGGATTTATGACCCAGATGCCTTGTGCCAGGCAAACCCAAACCCAAACATTAGGGACAGCCTTAATTCTTGCAAATCCATACAGACTCTCTCATTATAAAGGGTGAGATATTCAATTTTTCATTATTCTTTTCAATGATCCATTAGGTCTCATTTATATTTCTCAAAATATACACACCCCATTTTAACAGGTTTGGACAAAAAAAAGATTGCAAATATTTTTGCTAGTAAGCACTGGTACTCATTCAAAGCACTAGATGATTATTTGTGAGTATTCAGATAGCTGATGTAGTAGTAAAAATATTTCCAAAAGTTAAGTGTTTCATCTATTTTGAGATAAAAAATATTTGTTGAAAATAATAATAATGGTCTCAGTCACAGTCAAGACCAAGAATCAATACTGTGCAACTGGGATGATTGGTCACACGCTGCCACAAATAATTAGCAAAAAATGAACAACATTTAAAACAACTTATACATTGAAATTTTTCACTAGCTATTCGCAAAAGTTATGAATTTTATTTAGAAAATAATTCAATAATGATTCATTAACACAAAATAAATTAGATAAAATTTCAGCTGTTAACTCCATCAAAGAGACCTACTCAAAGAAAACTATTATGTGAAGTTCTTTTTCTGTTAATAGTCATTTTGACTTACAACAGCATAATTATTATTTTAAAGACATGGATTCACAGACCATACTTTCTATGGCTTCTTGCATTTCTGTACTTTAAAATCATTACTTACCTAAAAAAATTACTACTGAGCTAACACAAAAGATTTCAGTCCCCAAAAGGACTCTCCTGTAGGCAACTTCAACCATAATTAGTGCTGCTACTCAAGCACTATAATAATTACATTTTTCAGTGCAAGGAAGTGAAAGTAGCAAGTAACCTAATGACTTAACTTTTACCAAATGGATATTGTAGGGCCCTCCTCCTGCCCCTTTTCATACATGTTACTTAACCAGGAGTCCTCTGTACTATATAATACTGGGATTCTTTTCTTTGCTTTTCTGTTTGTTGATGAAAACTAACCTGTCCTGATGAAGCTAGTAAATTAATTGTAGTAAGCAGCATCCAACCTCTGCTGGCTTCTTCACTTTGATTGATCTCCAAGAACTGGACTATGGCACGACTTGCAGCCTCTGTTGGAAAGGAAAAATAAAAAGCAATTGACACCAAGTAAAAAACTGCTGTATGGAAAACCCCCATTTTTTTATTGAGTGGTGATGTTATCAAAACAAAATACGACATTATAAACACAGCTATAAAATACTTTTGAATTGGAGAGTCTATTTAGTTTTATATAAACCATTCTCCAAGATTTGCATTCCCGGTATCAACTTTCCCCGATTAGTATAGAGAGAGGCTATTTTTTTTTACAAGTTCAAACGTAGTTTAATATCCATCTCCCCACTTACAATAAATGAAAAGATATGACAAGTTTCAGGTAACAGAACTAAATTCCACATTTTATTTCTTGTTGCCCTCTGCATTTCTCATGTTGTTGGTTTATTACCTCCTTCCTATCACTTTGTACACAAGACTGAATACAACGCTACCCCCATAAGAGAGAGGAGGTACCAAGCCAACTCCTAGAGTGGGTCATTCACACAGACCATGATTTTGAAGTGTATGGTAGAAGATGAGGTGATTTCAAGCTTTTCAGCACTCTCCACGATTTCGTTCTGTGAGCGTTGATTCCCCACACTAAGTTACAGCATGTTGAGGACTTTCTTCCATCTCTCAGAATTGAAGACCTAAAGCAAGTAGGAGTATTCCTCACCTGGGGGGGGGGAGAGTCTGTGGGTTTTTTGCATGTACCCAAATGATCCCAAATGTCCAAAGTGACACTCTGAGATCTCTCAGAAAGAAAGGTGGTGAAAATCTAAAGTGCTCTACCTACCCTGGGTACGGTCAGGTCAACTGTACCATAAACCATTCAAAAAACCAAGAAGAGTCACTTTGTATATCCACTTGATCAATGGAGCTATTTTAAGAAACACCAATGTAAGGACAGCAACCTTAAATGTTTTCAAAGCAAATACATTAACAGCTCAAAAAAGTTAACATTAAAAGAAACAATAAAACTATTTCTAGAAATTCTACAGTAATGCAGCAATGCTAGCCAACATTTTTATCTTTAAGCCAAAAATAAATTACGTATCTAATATAGCCAAACAGAAGAGGGAGAGCCACCAGCTATCACTGTGATCCAAGTAGAGTTGCATACCTCTGACTCTCTGAACAGAGTTAAAAACCCTGAAATAAGTTACTACCCAAGAAATATGAAGTTTATTTCTAGGCGAGGCTTGAAAAATATACTTGTCCAAAGCGAGTCAGAAGCTTTCCTGGGCTACTGTCAAACATCTACCCACCCACCCACACATGCCAGTAGACCAGGAAAGCTTCTGACAAATCAAATCCAACTCTGATAAATAAACAAATGTAAGATAAAGTAGCTGATGAACAGGACAGAAATGCAAGGTGCTCCACCTCAGGAATAAAAACCTGCATCACACTTATAGGCTTGGCAATGCTACACCTGCTGGCACCATGACCGAAAGTGACTTGGGGGCTGACGATTGACCACAAGATGAACATGAGCCGCCAATGCAATACTGCAGCTGGCAAAGCTAACAAAACTCTGGCTTGCATCTACCAATACATCTTGAGGAAGACTCAGGATGTCATCCTCCTGCTGTACTCGCCCTTGGTGAGGCCACAGATGAAGTACTTCATCCAATTCTGGGCTCCACAATTTAGGAAGGACATGGAAAAGCTTGGAAGAGTCCAGAGGAGAGCCACATGCATGATCAGAGGGCAAGAGAAACAGGACTTAGGAAGAAAGGCTGTGAGCTATGGGCCTGGAGAAGCACAGGCTCAGGGGTGACTTGGTGGCAGCCTATAAGTATATACAGGGTGTGCATCAGAACCTATGGGAACACCTGTTCACCAGAGCACCCCAGAGGATGATAAGGTCCAACTGTCACAAACTCCTGCAAGACCGTTTTAGGCTGGACATAAGGAAAAACTTCTCAACTGTCTGAGCCCCCAAGGCCTGGAACAAACTCTCCCCCGAGTGATGGTGCAAGCACGTACTCCGGACACTTCGCAGAAACATTTGGATGTTTTTCTTGCTTGCATCCTTTGACCCTAGCTGACTTCCTGCTCTTTGGGCTGGACCCGATGACCTTATGAGGTCCCTTCCAGCTCTAATGTCTAGGCAATCTATGAAATTTATGAAATATACATTAGAAAGAAAATTTAAGAGATTAAGCATGTCTTCACCGAAAAAGTGATTTTGAAGTGACTCAATAGAATTAATAAACTAAAAAAAAGTTTTATAAAGTAGAACAAAAAAGGATTAAGAATTTCTGGGGAGAGTAGTTTAAAACCCTAGAGGTAAAGTACAAATATTAATAAATTATGCATGAAACAGAGAACTCCTGGGGAAAACAATGAAAAAAGTGTTACACATGTAATTAACTGCTAACTGAGGCCAATGAACCGAAACAGAGTAAAACTGAATTTCAAAACCAGCTAAAAAAAGGAAATCCATACACACATCTCAATTTCAGTTTCCTTATGTCCTCTAGGCATATTACATCAAATTAAAAAAAAGAAGTTCAAATGAAAACTATTTAAAAGGTAAATGCTTCCCATCCCTAATTACCCATGTTACTCCCCCAAATGTCTAACAAAGTTTACCAGATCCATACTTGGACACGTGATGGGGAACAGTATACATTCCCAAGCTAGAGATTCCCCTCACCAAATGCACTTCCTGTTTCATCCATGGGGTTCTGTATCTGAACATCTAAAATTACCAGGATGATTGCTGCCAGGATTTGGCAATTTGGGCTTGGTTGGTAACAACAACAAAAGGCTTCAGGGTGCTAATACAATAATAAGATACAAAATCATACCCCCATCAATGGTCACAATTAGGGCTGTGCGAAATTTCAGCAGCTGTTTCGTTTAGTTTCAGATTTGGATGTTTCGGCGGCCAAAACACTAAACCCAAAATGAAACGCAAGGCTCCAAAACACCTCTGAAACAAAACAGATCCATCCAAAACGTTTCGGAAATGTTTTGGACCGTTTCGAAGGTGGGCTTGCAGGGAAAG